GTAAACCTAATGTGGTCCACATATGATTCAGCAAATGTGGCCCAGGTACATTAAAACGTATCTGGGCCAGTTTTGGCAAAGATATGGCACAGTGAGCATTGACTAATGTAGCTGTGAGCCTAAAGTGGCCCGCATATGATGCCACAAATGTGGCCCAGTTATCCTCAAACGTATATGGGCCACTTTTGGCCAAGATATGGCATGGTAAGCACTGGCTAATGTGGCTGTGAGTCTAATGTGGCCCTTATATGATGCCACAAATGTGGCCCAGTTATCCTCAAACATATTTGAGCCAGTTTTGGCCAAGACATGGCACAGTGAGCACTGGCTAATGTGGCTGTGAGCCTAAAGTGGCCCTTATATGATGACGCAAATGTGGCCCACATATAAAATGACAAATATTGCCCAAATAATTAATAACAATTTGGGCCACTTTTGGCAAATATACAGCACAGTCAGCATTGGCTAATCAGTGTGTAAGCCAACTTGTCCCATATTTGACATGGCAAATATGCCCCATATATTATAAAACGGTTAAGGACCACTTCTGGTTGTAACACTTGACAAGTGAGGCCACTTCTTGGATGTAACACTTGACACTGGCTAATTGAAATGGAAGCTTGAAATTGTAAATATGGCCTAATAGAATTTGGCTACTTTTAGTAGGATGCAACACAGTTAACTGATGCAGGGTGATCTGGATGTGAGTCTTAAGAAGGCTACATATGCAGCTATTTATTTTTTGAAACATACTTTTAATGGCAGTTTTTTTAATATATGTACTGTGCAGCATAAAAACAGAAGTGCACTATAATGATTGTACTCTTACTGTCATGGTTTCTGTTAATTAGGACTTTGTTTTCCTTTTGCACCTTTTCCTTTGTTGTGTTGATTGTATTATTCTGTTCAGGTGTGCCTAGTTAATTTGGTCTGAGTACTTAAGTTCCTGTATGTTCACTTTCAGTTTGTCTGGTCTTACGTCTACATGTCTTAAATGTTGCTGTGCTACATTGTGTTTGGATTTACCCTTGTTGGATTAAAGACTTCTGATATATAACCTTTCATCTTCATCGTGCGCTCTTTAACACAGCATAGCTATGACACTCACAGACTTACTGTGTAGATAGAGTCTGAGTGAGAAGCTTTTAAGTTCAAACTTGTGAAGAACAGTTTTTAAAGTATTGGAATATGTCTTCAACTTCAAAAATCAACTGTGGCCCACATTAGGGCCAGTTTTGGTTTATTTGGTTGGCTTACGTGCAGCAATGCTAATGCTTACTTGAGGCCCAAATCTGGCAAACAGAACCGGACTGCCCAAATGCCATTATTCCACGCAGTATGTGGGCCGGAGCAAGGTGTTGGATCTGGGCCGGATCTGGGCCAGAATTGAAATCGATGTGGCTAGATTTGGGCCAGTTCTGCTTTATTTGGTTTATTAATGGCTGACATTGGGCCTTCCTTTGGCTTGCTTGGGGCCCAAATTTGGCAAACAGGAGTGGACCGCCCAAGTGCCATCATTCTTCACAGTATGTGGGCTGGGTCAGGGTGTTGGATCTGGGCTGGATCTGGGTCAGAATTAGAATCAATGTGGCCCAGATTTGGGCTAGTTCTGCTTTATTTGGTTTATCCATGGCTGACATTGGGCCTTCTTTTGGCTTGCTCGTGGCCCAAATCTGGCAAACAGGAGCGGACTGCCCAAGTTCCATCATTCCACGCGGTATGTGGGCCAGATGAAAGTGTCAGGTGTGGGCCTGATTTGGGCCTCAGGAATTTTGCTATCTGGGTTGTCAAGTCCATTAAGATGAAGAATGAGTAATTAAGGTCAAACATCCATGTTGGATAACAGATTTTGTTTCCCCAAAGACATTTAAATAATAAATGAACATTTTAGCAATCATTTTTGTGAAATATTACAGTAACTATGGCAGTAAATGAAAACAAACATATCATCCAGTGGTGATTCAAATTTGGTGGGGTCTGTAAGATTGTTCAAAAAGTGTCCGGCAGTGGCAACCACAGACCACAACACTTCTGAGAGATGAATTGCTGCGAAAGACCCAAGTGACTGTGCAATTCAGCAGAACAGTCAGTTTAAACATTGAACAGATAAATATGTTAAAATACCCATCTTGGCGAGATGAACACAGTCGGTTATGTCTTGAGGGAATGTAAACAGCTAAGGAAAAAAATCACAAGTGTATCATTATTAGATGCATTCGATCTTAAGCCCGGGACACACCAAGCTGGCAGTCAGCCGTTGGGCAATATCGAGTGGTTTTTGAGTGTTGGTCGACTTAGTTGGCTCTAGTCAGATGTTGTCAGTTGTTTTTCATTTGATTCTACATATTGAATTGGTGGCGGAGATCATCGGTGAGAAAGAGAACTCTGATTGGCTATTGAGCTTAGCGAATGAGTGCACGAGAAAAAAAAACGGAACTGATGAAGGCAAACCAATGACGGAGTAAAGAGCGCTGCTTGCTTTGTATCTCCTCAGTTCCAGCAATTCTGGTTTCCCTGTTTGAATGCCAATTACAGACTACTGCCACTTATTCTTCTTGTAGATAAGAAACTCTGACTAAACACCAAGTTAAACCATAGTCAGTGAAGACAGAGTCGTAGTAACGTTAATCATTTACTGTCACTCTTCCTCATTAACATGCTGCGGTCAAAACTGTAATAAAACGATACAACAATATTCAGTGTCCATGTCTTGACTAACATCCCTTTATAAATGACTGTAACATAAACTACTGTTCTCACTGTAGTAGCAGTTGCAGTGGCTATTAGCATCGTTGAAAGCTTGTACACAATGGTAAACAAACCATTTTTAACAACTTATCAAACATCTTTTTACCAAAATCATTACTAATATAATGGTCTTTAACGTCTAATATCATATAAATGAAATTTAAAGGACACATTCAGCACATTTCAATGAAGACTTGCATTCTTTGGTGAGGTGAGAAACCGAAAGAACAGCATTTGAAACATATTCCTTTCTCTTTGAGGAAGGCCTTTGTAGGATATCAGACCGAATCAGACAATCTAAGATTTGGTCATGAATCGCTGGCCGTCTCAGTGATCAGCCGTAAAAACGTGATTCTGTCCAAATTCCCTTTAAAAATCTTAAATGATTCCCTTTGAGCTAAATTGAACTGTTTCCCTTACACCTTTCTGTTGTCAAGGAGTTTGTTTTTGAATGTTCTGCATTTTTTCAAGATTAATTCTGTCGAAGGATTTGTGGTAAAAAGAGGGATGTAAAGGGGAAGCAATACACCTACACCTCTCTGGAATTTTCTGTGAGTTTAGCGATCTCCTTGGTAAGTCAATTTGCCTTGTTAATAGTTACAAATCAAATTGTTAATAATGTGTAAGAGAAAAATCTACAGAAATTAAATCTGTGAGATTGATTTATGTATGTAAAAAAATGTGTAATGCTGCATTTGGTAAATAACATCTAACTGTGTAATCAATTGCGTGTCGAGAAGCAATCAGTCATATAGTAATGAGTGTGTTTTGTGGAAAAACAACAATCACAGACATTGAATATATGGAGAAGGTATTCTGTAATTGAAGAATGCATGTACATATATTCAGGATATTCAAGTTCTGTGTGAAAGAAATGTGTGATTTATGGTGATTAATTTACTTTCATGAGTTAAAACTTTATTGTATGTTGTTACAATGAAGATATTGATGATTGTTTTATGACATTGTCTATTCAAGGTCAGGTTATTTGTTTGTTCTCCCCCTTTTCATGTTCGATTGATGTCCTCTGTCTGATGTAACAAGATGTTCTGGAGCCTGTATTCTGGATTTGGCCCCCCCCCCCCCTTGAGTCTGTTCTTGGATTTTCTGTGAAAAAAAGACAGTTTTCTGAACTCTGCGAAAAGCAGGAAATTGAATGACTTTTTTCTTCTTCTTTTCCTCGTCAACATATAAAAGACTATTCAAAGAACTGTTTTTCTTGAAAGACTGAACAATTGAGGGTTGAAATAGAAGGATATCTATTATACTTCATTGAGAAGTGTTGATTTTCCATTGTGTTGACAACTGTGGTTGTATATTAATTGGGTTTTGATACTTGAGTACTGATTGATTTAAAGAAAAAAAAAGTTAACATAGGTGATATAAGTGTTCATATTCGACCTCATTAGAGTGAATTAAATGCTGAGGTAAAGTGAACTAACAAAGAGAAGTATATGAACGTACCTTGTTGGAAACCAAGGGAAAGGTTTTATGAGATCTACAAAAACAAAAAAAAGAGTGACAACAAGATTTAGAAACCACAATTACATTAGTGAATTTTTTTCATTGTTTCATATTAATTCATGCAACTTACCTGTTGTGTGCTGGTAAAACACAAATATCCAGAGTCTGGGTCCATATTGGCCAGAGAGTAAGCGCTACATCTAAACTTGGTGTGATTCCACGTGAAGTGTCGAGGTATGACAGACCTGTAAGATAACCATCTTCTTTAGCACTTTGGATTTCCATAAGCAAATCCCAGAGTTCACGTAATTTGGTGTGATCTTTAGCTGAAATCTTAGCATAACTGCCCAACCATTGAAACAGTGACATTTCAGTGATTTCTGCTGCAGCATAGCACTCTTTTCCATTCTTTTTGTAAAGCGAGATTGGGGTTGCTGACATACACTGAGCGGATGCGCTTCTCCATTTCCCCAGATTCCTTTCCCAGCCATTTAGTTATGAGGTCCAATTCCTGGGTTGCTGTGAGGTGAACTTCACGATCTGCATTGGTGAATGAGGAATACTATTACCAATAATTATCGGGCTTATGATCAAATTGGTACAGTCTTGAACTAACAGGTCTTGTCGTGCTAAATACTGTGCCAAAGGCTCTGTCTGAGGTGGCGTGCTAGCTGGAGGAATGTATCGAGGAACATATGACTTAGCATGCGCATTCATGATGGGGCTTGTCCTCCCAACTTCAGACTTCATTGCACCTGCAGACAGATCAGATAGGTTTATTGCAGGTAAGTGCATACTATCAGCCTTCTCAGACTTCGGCTTGTTGTTGATAGACTGTGTACGTGAAATGTCTTTCACAGGTGGACTCCATGTTTCGAAGCTGTTATGTGAGTCAGAGCGACAGGTAAGACTGATAAGAGTGGAAAGGGAGAATGACTCTGAAGGTTGATTTGAGAATTGACATATTCACTGGTACGTTCAATTTAAACTTTCTCTGATTCAGATCCTCCTCTTTCAGCTGCAGTATGCATTGCTAATTCAGCATCTTCCAGCAATTGTGCCTCCACTGCGGCTGCATCAGCTTCTCATGGTAGCGTAAACACTTCCAAATTAGTGTCTAATCTTACTGTTTCCAGCTAATTTTGAGCTTCTCTTGCGGCCTTTTCCATTTTCAGTTTAGCCTCTTGGATGGCATATGACACTCTCACTTTGGTGTCTTCATCTCTGGCCTGGGTACTCGCCGATGATGCGGATGACTTGCCACTTCTAGTGCTGCCCACAGACAACTTCCTGCTTGCTGCCATCTTAATCACTTCATCATCAAACACTGCCTTTTCACTGTAGTGTTCTCGTGCAGTGTGTCGAAACTAACCACCGAAATTAAACACCAAGTTAAACCATAGCCAATGAAGACAGAGTTGTAGTAAGGTTGATCATTTACTGTCACTCTTTAAAATGTCTAATGACATAAATGAACTTATGGCATTGCCTCTATGATGGCAATCCGATCTGGACATCATCCGCCATGTTGATGTTATCATGTAACCTTCAACGTAATAACACACGCAACAACTTAAAAGCAAAAGGTATGAGTGTCAGGTTCAATTCATCTATCTGTAAATATCTTGATATTGATGAAACTTGCTCATTTTGTGGTCTTGTTGATGAAACAGCTGCCTATTTATGATTTATGATTTGTGATTGTAGGATAACCAATACATTTTGGGTTGATTTAAGTTATATTTTTAACCCTACTAATGTGTCCCATACTTTTATCCTTAAATATATTATTTTGTTATTACGGAAACCCAAAATCATCATCTCTTGAATATGTTACTTTCTTTATTTTATGTGCAAAATTTTTCATCCACAAGCAAAAGTGCCTTAAATCTCATTTGTGTTTTACTCTTTTTCTTGTTGAATTTAACTCTAGTTCATCCCTCAGGCTTATAAATAATTAAAGCTGCAGTCAGTACGTTTTGCCTCTTTGTCGCCATCTCTGTTTGAAAACCTGCAGTTGCAGCTGTTTGCGGAATTATCTTCCTTGCATGGGTTGTGCGTCGGCATGGCTCCAGCGTGGATGAATCTGATGTTTTGAGGAGTATGTGTGGCTGTCAGTCACCGCACCGGTGTGGATATTCACTCATAGGCAGAAATCCCGGGGGGGACAGGACCCCCACCTATCTGAGGGTTGTCCCCCTTAAAACTATGATTAAAACCACGCTGTGCATTGTAAATAACAATGTTTTATACTTTAAATAATTGTGTAAGTAGTAAAACAACACAAACAGGGCAAAACAATTTTGAGTCTCCCCCTCCCTTGCCTCACTGTGCTTTGGTCCAAATGCCTGCTTTCCTCTTTTACATCACCTACACACACACAAGTCCGGTGAGAGAGAACAAAGTCAATAGTTGTGGAACTCCAGTAAGTAAGGCTGTCATTTTATTCACTTAAACATCGGATGAAGTGATTATTTTCTCTTTAATACAGATGATTCCAATGTATTTTTCGACGAGTCCGCTATGTTAGCAATAATAACGTTAGGGAAAGGGTTGCCATGTTTTCATAACAAAACCCACCCAAATGCTACTCAAAAATAGCCCAAAACTAGGCCAAACTATCCACGTTTCGAGGGGGTCCCCGGTAAAAATTGCATTCCGGGGGCTAAAATACACGTTATTGGGGTCGCTTCAACCCGCGGACATGAAAAACAACCCGCGGCAATAGTGTTAAAGTAGCCCAATTCCACAGGAAAACCACGGACTTGGCAACACTGTGACGGATAGTAATGTCTACAATGGACATGAGCGCTATCACGGTGCGACCACAACAGCTTTAAGTTGTCTAATTTGGCACGGTCTTCCTGCTGCAATAATTGTAGTAAGCCATTCCTCTGTGTACACATATCCTTACAAGTACAATTTTAGCTGTATTATTTGTGTCCCCTTCAAAAATTGCTCTTGAGAAATTTTATATTTATTGTCCCCCCTACTGTTAGACGAAATTTACGTCCCTGTATTCACTGTACTTCGCAATCACATATTTTAGCCTACGTCTTGGAATATATGACCCAAATAAGAATTTTCACCGTATATTGTCATCTGAACAAGTAACAAGTCTGCCAATTTTGTTCTGACCAGCTGAGGAAAAAAGCATTGCAATGAACCGCGCTACTGGTGATTTAATCTAAAGATCACATCAAATCATGCAAATTATTATTATTGTTATACTTTATTCTCAACTTATTAATGTTAACAACATCAACATTGCCTATAGTGTGCATTGGCGTGTAGATTTAAATTTCTGTACAGTCTAATTTCTAATTGTCAAACCATTCGAATTTCATGTTAAGAAATTATTTTAACCCAAAAAGCAAATTAAACTCCCTTCGAACTGGTTCTCTTTAAAATAAAAATCTTGTGTAATCCCAGGCTATCTATAATCAGAAGCACATTTAAAACTGGAATATAATTTAATTTCATTCACATGTGTTTCATAAACATAATCCTTTCTGGATTACAATCCACCATCAAAATGATACATTTAATTATTCTAGCTGATGTGAGAAAAACCTATAAACGATCGGCCACCTGCAGGATCCTCACATGCGATGTAGCCTAGTAGCCGGGACAACTTCTTTATGTTTACAGACGTGACGTAATGACGCAGTGCCATGCTCGAATTAACCACGAAAACCTACCCGTACCACTCAAATAAAAAAAAAACATTATTATAAGCTAACCGTTGTGAATCGGGCTAAAGTAAGGCAATAGTTTTGAACACTGGCTGGTTATGTACTTGCTCAAATATTGATTTTGGATAATTTTTAACCAAAAAAGTTATGGACTGCAGCTTTAAATAAAAAAATAAATAAAGCAATTTTCTGATGCATTATGATGAATTATTCAAAGATATTTAACCTTGTCATTGTGTTTTTTCTGTGTATATAATTTCATGCTATGATGTACGCAAGCCCATGATATTTATTTTTTCCAGTTTTTTTTTTTTTTGTCATTATGATTGTTCATTGTTAAAGATACAACCATGGAATCATTCCCTGATCTTGTTTGCAATTATAAGTTCTGCAATAAAAAAAAAAAGTGCTAACACCTCATAGCATGACTAGCTCGACAACCCTACCTAGTACAGTTTTCCTCTGCATTTGCTATATTTGGAATGTCTGCACAAAGGAGACATAGGGCAGCTGTTTGAAGATCTCGCCTTTGGATAAATAAGCATTACTACTTAAATATTAAAGAGGTCATATGATGCTCGGCTTTCACCGTGGACGAAGCGGAGTACAGCCCGGGGTCGTCACATGTTTTTGCCGCAAGCCCGCCGGCCGCACTGTTCTCAAGCCCGCCCACCTCCGCTCACTCTAGCGCTTGTTGTTTGTCATTTCTCCGATCACAAATGCAGACATGGTTTTATGTTTACGCAGCGCAACGCGTAAAAAGACAGTATAATTCATTATAATCAGTAATTATGTCCCCACTGGATGCAACAAATGCCTCGTTTGTAATGGGTTTTAATGTTTTTGTCTCATTGCTCCAGCCGGGACATGGCAGCAACAGTATGTGAGGGACGTAACATTTCCGTCTCATGCTTGAGGTATTCGGCCAATCACAACGCATTGGATAGCTGGCCACTTGAGGTATTCGGCTAATCACAACGCACTGGATAGCTGGCCAATCACAGCACACCTCGCTTTTTCAGACCGATGAGCTTTGTAAAAATCGACGCGTTTCAAAAAGGCAGGGCATAGAGGAGAAACAATAAATGTACAGTATGTGGAAAATAATGTTTTTTTTTTTACTTTAAACCGCATAAACACATTTCATTACACCAAATACACAAAATAATGTTCTTTTTAGCAGCATCATATGACCCTTTTAAGATTACGCTAGAATGAACTGCATCGCTAGCCCACCCCAACAGGTTTAATTTAATTGTTATGTCATATGACAGTTATGTATGAATACACACAAGACAAATGCAGCCAATGTGAATTCATCATTTTTTTTAGTCAGTGAATTAAAGCATGAATTAATTTAATAATTATATTTTATTTACTGACAACAGTGGGGAACCATGAATAAAATTAGTATGAATGAATAAAAGTAAACATCACAATAAATAAATTCATTACAAGTGAACAACACATGAAACAAAGCTTTATTCAAATGTATCAATCCAAGAAACTATCACATATTTACAGGCGGTGAAGCCCACATCCTACTGCCTTCTCAACACAGCTGTGCCAATTCTGCAGCTTTATTTTGATTAAGCAGCTGACCACCGTGCCCACCTTCGCCTGTCTTTGCTGTCCATCACGTCCCTCATTGCTGCAGTCAGACTGAATGATCATGGATGGGAAAGCGACATCGAGGCTATCCTTACCTGGGGTAATATGACACATAGCAGCCACGATAGTGCTGTATAACTGATAGGCCTATTGGTTTTATTTCATTTTTCCTTTTTTTTTACTTGAAATATTCCCAAACTTGTTAACTATATCATTAAATATCTTGATTCTCGAATATGTGTATGTAAATAAATTTTGCATATGGGCGATGGGCAAGTAGCCTACGGTGGCCGAGAGAGCTCAACGCGCTGCAACTTAAGAAAACACATGCAAATTGAAAAAACACCAGCAAATTAAGAAAGCATCTTCATCAGTTTGACAACACACGCGCTGCAAATCCTCACAGCACATGCAAATGAAGAAACGCGCTGCAAATCCTCACAACACATGCAAATGAAGAAACGCGCTGCAAGTAGAACGGACCACAACGGAAATGTTTCAAGGGGACCCAAAAAAGTGACGGACCCGGCTGGGATTTGTTTTGTGCAGTG